AAAAACGGATTTTAAAAAATAAAAAAATAATTTACCAGTAACGGAAATCCCGGGAATGTGCACTTCGGCTAAGCACCTCTGAGCCTAAACAATAACATTTGTAATTAACTTAATCCCGCAAATAAACATCGCGTGTACGCGTCCGGTCAAATGACCGAGTACACTCACTCGTTGCTGATAGTTTTTCTCTACTAATATTACTGTTCATTTATCTTTTATTGACCAAGTTTATTTTGAAAAATGGCACAGGAAAAAAAATCGGAAAAAGAGAGTTCCAATGACAAGCGAAACCTGCAAGTTTCTGAATAGCAGAAAACGTATTTTTTTTACTACGAAACACAGTCCCTCTACGAAACAAAGTCGGACGAGTCAACAACAGACACGTCGAGTGAAAACCCAAGGGACATTTGATATAAAAACAGACATAAAACACAGTTTTTCATAAATACGATAGAAATATACGGGTACACTTCAGTTGTAGAACATATATTTGTGAGCACATTACCAATTCTCTGACAACATTCGGGTCCGTATAAAACATGAACCGTGTAAGGTAAAGGCAAACTAGTATTTCACAAGTTTACAAAAAAATTATCAGTCCCAGTTGTTCCCTAGATAGGGGGTGAAATTTTCCTGACCAAGCTGTGCTGCACGGTGTCAAAGCTGTGATTTTCATTAAAAAGCTACACTTTCATTGGTACCCCTGAATCAACTGTACATTTTCCTCCAGGTTTCAATCCTACACACTGTCACGTGATTTATCAGGTGAGAGTGATGACATATACTATATATATATTGATCGAAAAGAAATTGAACAGAAATACTAGCGCCCGCGTCGGCGACTATTCGTATATTATAGTTTGTGGTGTGTTTCATTCTTATGTTTTACATGCGAGCACAGTTAACCCACAAATTGGCTAGTGTAATTATGGAAGGTATTGATATAGTCCATGATCGTATTGATGTGGCAATTACTTTTCCTGTTAATCAGACGCATTCAGACAATTGTGACAACAATGTCACGTGTTAGATGACAGGTACACTCATTATATATAGTATAGTATTATAATTGGTTACTATTTGCGCATGTGTAAACACCAGTGAACATGTGCACTCACGTGGTATACTAGTAGTTGACTGGAGTGTCTGAGAATGTGCACAGATCGCTCACTATTGTTATATGTCGTAATAGGAACGGAAGCTAGACGAATAGCTCACAGTTAATATTACTATACGAGTAGCTCACTTTATTAATATTGTGTCTGACAAGCCAGATACTTTCTCAGCTGAAATTCTTGTGTATCCGGCATTCCAGAATATGTTCAGGCCCTGTTTTCTTTCGCTACAGTTCTACTATACTTTTCCTGACACTTCAATAACCATCATTTCAATTTATATTACTCGTGCTGGAACTCATCTCCGGAATATATAAAAAACATTACAGTTGTAAATATGCCTGTCTTTTTTAAAAACGGAGAAATTGTAGATGTGGTCAATTTGGTGGAAACTATATTGGATTACAGGGAGAAAGAAACCATGCTTGGACTGCCATTTACAATTGAATTTCGACGCGGTAGAATGGTCTTTCCAAGGCATTTGAGGCATTCAACTTGGGCCCTAGATTTATAAAGTGGGTACGGGTGTTCTACTTGTTTGTGAGTGACAAAAGCTGTAGAAGAACAGAATCTAGAATGTCAGCTAATATTATGATCAGAAAAGTTTATAAAATGTATTTTTCAAATGCGCGTGCGGATACGTTGTTGGATTACGTCAGTAACATTGCAGCCTCGTTCGAAGATTCGTACATGATTTGCTCCAGTCTGTCAACTTGAACGGTTCATGTTTACCCACATTTGTACAAAATTACTGAGCATTTCCAGGAATTAAATGGTATTACCTGCAACTTCAATTGGCGTAACCGTGGATACTTGAAGGTTTATCTTAGTAGTTTTATAACAACCAAATACGAACAAGGACGACAAAATGGCGGATGATTATGACGTAATCCCCGTAAATGGTCTATTACGACGATTCATGCACATGGTCCAATCCACAGAAGTATAAATTTGACAATTAACGAAGTAATCCACCAAAATATTGTAATTAAAATTGAATACAACTATCATTCATATGTGATTCATCAAATTACTCAATAACAGTGTTACAAGACGACGCGACGTGTACATTTGTTTCTTTGTATGCCATCATATTGTAGGTTTACACATGGAGCTTAAAAGAGACAGAATTTATCGCAGCCGAATAGTTGCTTCTCCCACAAATTAACAGGATATTATATCCTGTGCGTTTATACACTTGTTACTGAGCATAGTCTGAAGTTTGAAACGTTTTGTTTAGAGCCGAGTTGGTATAGCGCCAGAGACGTGGAGTTCTCGTTTACACAGTCGGATCATGTCGGGACTCATTCCTATCGGAGTTCAA